ATGTCATATGACATGTGCTCTAATTTCATTTGCTATACGCATCCTAGCATATCTTTACATTATTACGGTCGCATACAAACGAATTTTTATCGATTTTATTACACATCCAAAAGCAATGGGATGTTAGTTTAGAGCATAATTCATTTAAAGCCAAATATATATATATATATATATGGGATGTAATCCACGTTCTCGTTTATGGATGATCCAATGAAGTAAATATTTCATTTGATGAGTTTGTGTGTGAAAGTTCGAAGAATATTCGAATATGATTTTGAATTTTTTATCTCAGCAGAGTGATACAGATATGCATTTTTAAATGAAAATCTCATGCGATTGTTTATTAGTCAAAGAAAATGTGATAGAATGTTGATAGTACGGTTATGGTATATTTTAAAAGTTTGCTTTTCAGATCAAATTACATTCACTCATTTCTTCTTCATAAATGTTAATCGAAAAAGTGCTCGCGAGCATTGTGCACAAGGAAGCTACCCCCTAAAGACTGTTATAGCTTTTGAAAATTGTCCATCATCTTAAGAAATGCCTACGATTAAAATAAAAAAAAAAAAAATATAAAATAAGTAAATTTTATATATCTATGTCGGATGTTAAGCATCGATAATTGATCTTAAGCTTCCCTTTTGTCGATCAATTTTATTTCTTTTAGCAGAATTCAATTAATTTTGAATGCTTTCAACCACTTCTCTATTACATGGATTAGATATAAAATTGACAGGTTTTTTATATCCGATGGATTGATAATGAACGCAAAATATTCGCCTTAAGGCGAATAGAATTTTCTTTCTTTCTTTATTACTTTGCGGTTACATTATTTTATATATATAATTATTATTGTGAAACTACAATTATTTAGTTTAATTCGATGTTCTTGGTTCAAATGTTGTTAAATTTTTATTTGTTTGTCTATATATTGTTTATTTAGTTATTTATTTATTTATTTATTTATTTACTTTTTTTTGTTTTTGCTTAGAGACGCGCATGTAAATGAAATACAATTTGAAATTAATTTTGAAGTTGATTATAATGTTTTCGAAAAAAGAGCATTTTTTTTTTTTTTTTTTTTGTATATGCAATAAGAATAATAATAATAATAATAGTAATAATAATAATGAAAATTTCATTAAAATTTAACGTAGTGTCATTTTTGTTTTTGTTTTTAATTATATTCTTATTTTTGTTCTTGTTGTTTGGTTGCTATTGTTCTTGCTGTTACTGTTAATTAGTTTATTTGTGCTATAATCACAGTTAATATATTTCTATAGTTAGTATTTTATATTTTGTATAAAGTTTAAAAAAAAAAAAAAAAAAAAAAACTTAAATATAAAATAAAAATCATATAAACTATTGGCGGTGGCTATTTTTGTTGTTGTTGTTGTTGCTGTTGTTGTTATTCTTATTATTATTATTATTGTTGTTGTTGTTGTTATCGTTATTGTTATTACCGATGTTGTTTATGTATATATATAAAATAATCCTTATTATTATTTGTAATAATAAAATAGTATTTACTTTACTTTTGCTGCTATTTTCATTTGTTAGTTAGTTAGTCTATTAAACGAAAATTAAATAAAAAAATAAAAACAATTCTGCTATTGTTATATTTACGGTTACGTTGTTGTTTGTTGTCTGCTTTACTTGTAGTTAACATTTTGATTATTGTTTGAGTTTTATTTTCATTTTCTATATAATTACTTTTAAATTTTTTCTTTCTTTTAATAATGATGATAATCATAATCATAATAATAGTAATAATAATAATCATAATAATAATAAATTTAATTAACTATTTTTGTTACGTTTTCTTATAGTTTCCTGTTTTTTGTTATGAGACTTTCAGTTGCTAAGGCTATTTGTAGTTAATTTTGATGTTTATTACAGTGTTGTGCCGTTATTAAATAATTTTTTTTATTTATTTATATTTTGCTCTCATTTAGAAATGATAATAGTGATAACAATAAAAAAGTTTAAAAAATGGAAAAAATTCATTGTTCGTAGTTGTTTTGTTGCTTGCGGATATTGTTTTCTTGTTGTTGATGTTGTTGTTGTTCTTGTTCTTGTTGTTGTGAAATACTTTGTTTTCAATTTTATTTTTTATGTTATTATTATTATTTATTTAATTTTATTTTATTTCTTATTACATTAGTAATTAGTTGTGGTAGTATTTGTAATACTTTACTTCCGTTTGTCGTTTTTTCTTTGTTATGTCTTAACGCATAAATGTGAAACCAATTTGTTTGTTCGTTTTTGTTTGTATTTCGTTTAACTTTATGGTCAGTTTGTATATCTCTAATTCAAAACAATGATAAAGAGAAAAAAAAAAAAAAAAATAAGGAGAGAGGAGAGAAGAAATAAAAGAAAAACACTCCACTGTATAATGATGTTTTTTTTTTTTTTTTTCGTTGAAATCTTATAAAAATAAATTCATTTTTTTAAACCTCACAAAAAGTTTATAATGTTTTTTGTTTTTGAGTTTTTAATCTAAAAAGGAGATCCAGCACCAAAAAAAAAAAAAAAGAAAAGAATTTAATAAAATTAAAATATTATTCAAATTAAAACAGGACTTTTTTTTTTTGTTTTTTTGTATGAGATTAAAAAATTATTTTTATAAATGAAAAATTTTTTTTGTTATTTTGTTTTTTAATTAAAGCTGTTCTTTTGTTTGTTTTTGGAATACAATCCTTATGCACTTTTAGTCGACATGAAGAATTTAATAACTTTTAATTTATTTTTACTTATTTATTTTGTTGTTTTTTTTTTTTTTTTTTTTCTATAAGATATTCATAGAAAAATGTCCAGACCTTATCATGAGAAGACTGACTTCAATTTAAGCTTTAAATTGCTATTTATTTTGCGTTAAGTGCTTTTTAATAATAACGCCTTTTAGGTAGCATTGCCAAGCAAAATATCCAAAGTTGGTTAAATGAATTTTTTTTTTTAAATTAAAATATTTTTTTTTTTGTTTATAATATCGGGTTGAGGGTTCGTTTTGCTTTTCAAAACATAAACTATTCAAAGTGAATATGAAAATCAATCAAATCAAATTTAATTATGATATAGTGAATCATATTGAAATTTGGTAGCATTGTGATAAGCCAATGGTTAGCAAAGTTCTTGGGATGTTAGCTCAAGTTTACAGTACAAAATCAATAAGAAACTCTCGCATCATTCTTATTGAACTTTCACTTGAGAAAAAATCAAAAACGAGTACCGGAGGGAGAGTCCTTCTAAACGTCTAAAACTTTAAAATACATTTTCGTAATAAGATCGAAAAAAAAAATTTTTTTTATGAAAATATTTGAACGTTAGTTCACCTAATCTAAATCCCTTTTCTAAATATATTAAATTGTTCGCAAATCCACTCCGTTCTGATATCGTAATACTTGTGTAGGAGAAATTTTGTTTGATTCTGCGCAACAGTTTTGCTTTGGTGCCTTACCACAAATGGAAAGTCGAAAGAGCAAGAAGGAAATTAATGGACGCGATGAATGGACAAAAAGACAGCGCTAAAACTGATTTGCTGGCACTTTTGCGTCACATTCTGGAAGGCCAGTAGGAGCAGATGAAAACAAAATAAATGAATGGCGTGAGAACACTGACAGTTTATATCTATTGAACTCTATTCTTCGCGCTGAAATATTTTCCCATTATAAAGAAATCGACCTTTATTTTGGCCAAAAGAACAAAATTTCTTTCCGGATTACCCAATATTTAATGCAATTAAATGGGGATTAAGAGATCTACGGAGTTGCTTCTTCTACTGTTTGAAAAGGAATGCATTAATTTACTTATTTCTTATAGTGCATCAATTCCCGCCGGAATGTTGTCTTTACACGTGGATGTGATGCTGATCAGCAGCTCAGAGGAGATAGTAGTGCATGTGTACTTTCAAGTTGAAGAGTGGAAATATATGGAACGATAAGGACGATCATTGCAGGTGAATTGTTTTGAAGATTGGCAGTGCGATTAATGAACGACGGATCCCAGATCACGTGTTTTCCGATCAATGGACAATTTCATGTTTAGCAGGTGAGAACGCTGGACAAAGAGAGTATTGTTATTAAAGGATCCAATCGGTGGGCATGTCTCCTTTATCGCCATAAAATAGATGCATCTATGTATAACCATACCACAGAAGCCCATATTATGCCGTTATTCAAGGACGACGGAGGGTCCGAGTAGGATTTTGAAACTGTTGCCCGGATATTTTTTTGAGATCTTACTGAGACGAAGGTGCGAATTAGTGATATAAGATCACAGGGAGATGAGTAAATTAGGTTTTCTTTTGCACACTGGTGATCGCCTATAAGTGCTAGATGAAAAAAGAAGTGAGCTTAGCGGTACGTGTATGTTTAAGGGAAATTAAGGTGAAACCATGACAATTTCATCTCTGATATTACAGTGCTCTATGAGGATGTGAATACGAAAGCATTCATTCGAAATATTTCATAAAAAGTTCTGCGCGTGAAAATATTTATATATAGCGGTGAAACACATTACCAATATATTGCCATATACGTTCCATGTTAGGATCCGGAAAGTTGAAAATATTGAGAATCAGAAGGAGACCAGTTTTAGTTCTCTTCACGGTGTAATTAAGAAGATAAAAATTTATTTGCCTTAGCTCATAAGCTTAACAAATATTTATTCAAATATTGTTAGCAGATGGGTTTTTTTGGCGTTTGTGCGTTTGTGTGTTTTTACTTATTTGACAAGTTTTGATTATAACTGAATTTTCAATATTCTTGAATATACGGAATGTCAAAAATTATTGCATATATATGAACACGTCTGATCACCCACCATTCTGGCTATCATTCAATTCTGTAAACAATCAATAGGATTCATCTCCCTCTCAATCCTATGGGCTGATTTGAGACTTTAGTGATTGATTTAACATTCGCTTATGAAAGTTTTTTTTTTTTTTGGCAGCTAAACATCCCTGAACTTGATATATTAAAATGATTAAGTTATTTATGCATAACAAAGAAACCAGAAAATTTTGCAATTAATTCAGTTAATAACTTTTAAAAGGCAATGAGGTTTTTCATTTTCCTCTCAATTTAATTGTTGTCGACATGTCATATGGGTTTCTTTTGCTGTGTTCAATTGAAACAGTTTTTAGAAAAAAAAAAAAAAAAAAAAGAAATTAAAAAATTAAATATTCCTGTAATTATTTTTAATCTATTGTTCATATGCGTTTGAATTAGTGTTCAGCGTGTTCGCTTTCTTATCCTATCTGGAATCTACAGGAGTCAATGAATATTTTATTTTGAATTTTCTTTTCTTACGTGTACATTTTGGACGTTCCTTATCCATTCATTGAAAAAGTGTTTTAAGTATATTGCAAGAAAGTGTTGTTGTCGTTGTTGTTGTTGCGGATTTAGTTCTATTGTAACTTATCTGCGAAGGAGTCTTCTCCTTCGCGCCTCATCTCAGCGTGGCGCATTATGTATATGGGTAGTCAAGTGTTTCGAGAGGTAGTCAGCACGGGCAAAACATTTGCCGCAAGATTCACAATGATAAGGCCGTTCGCCGGTGTGAATGCGCAAGTGGCGTGTTAAATCTGATTTACCGCCAAAGGCGCGACCACAAAATAGACATACGAATGGACGTTCGCCAGTGTGTTTGCGAACATGTAATTTCAAATTCTCCTTTGAACGCACACATTTGCCGCAGAAGGGACAAGCAAAACGCGAAGCTGGCGGTCTATTCAATTATTAATAATTTACTTAGTTAAAGTTATTAAAGAAAATTAAATTAAATTTTTATATTGTAGTTATAGCTTACCTTTTATCCCTCTGGCGCTCAGCGGCGTCTGCTCTCAGGAAATTAAGAATTGATGCTTCTTGTGGGTTAAGGCCTAAAAATTGCTCGTTGGGCAATCGTTCTGTATTGATCAGCGATGTAATTGAATTAAGAGAATTTAAAGAATTTAAGGAATTGGCGGCGACCGCGGACGCGGTTACTGCAGCTTGTTGGGCTGTTTGCGGTGTCATTTGTAATTGATGTTGTGGTGTCGTAGCAACAGCTGCTGCTGCTGCTATAGCTGTCATGTTGTGGGCCAAATGGCCGGGCAGTTGCTGTATTATATGTGGATGATGTGTAGGATGTTGCGGCAACGAATGATGCTGTGACGCTGGTGATGGTGTTGATGATTGCTGACTGTGATGATGATGATGATGATGATGATGTTGGTGGTGTTGATGACGTTGTTGTTGATGATGAAAGGAGGGATCAGTTTCTAAATGTGGTGGCAATGTAGTGGTATTCAGAAGATGAGGCTATTGTAATAAAATGAATCATTCGTTAGTGATTGAACTTGTTAAATCTTTTTATAAATCACTTACCCTCTTATTTGTACTATGAATTCCATCTGTACTGCTTAAATCCTGCGCTTCGTTAGCATTCATTGATACCACGATGGGCGCAGTTTTATTATTTTTATCGTTGTAGTGCATAACTGCTACACCGTCGGTATTTACGTCTTGGTCTTCAGCCCCCCTTTGCTGTTGTTGTTGTTGATCATCATCGTCTTTCTCTTTCTTTATGCTTATGCGTAAGTCTTCTCCAACTTCGTTGTCAGCTAATGTTAAAGTTTCTTGCGAACCTGTCAGCATATCTTGATCTTGTAAATGTTGAAAATGAGCCGCAAATATGCTGCCGGCTAAATGATGTTTGCCCGATCCTTTCTTGCCGTGCAGGCGTTCCAAGGCGTGATTAAGGCGATGCTTCTTGAACGATTTTAAGTAGCGAAATTGCATACCGCATACGTCACAGGTGAACAATTTATCGGCTGGTAAACGAGCTCTATGATTTTGTTCTTTATGCTTTGCATAAGCAGAACGATACCGATACGATTGACCACATTGTTCGCAAATGAAAGGTTTCTCGTCACCCGGTCCGAGTATAGGGTGTTGCAGAGCGGCATGCTGTTCGAGTAGCCAGACATTGGGAAAGTGAGCGTTGCACACAATGCAACGGGTTTCCTCTTCAATTGGTTCACTGAATAATGACGAGGTATCGGAAGGACTTTTCACCAGGCCGTGGCCCGGCGTACCGGACGCGGGAGGTGGTGTTGATGAGGTAGACGAGGAACTACTTTTCTCTTTACAGTTTGAAGTTGCGTCTGGTGGTGTCATAGATGTAAGCAAAAGTTGAGAGTAAGGTTTTAAATTTGCTTCCCCAATTAGCGAGGTATTCGAACGACGGCGTTGCAATAATTGCTCCAAGGAGTCCTTATAAAGCATGGGTGAGGTAATTGAGCTTGTCGTGGCAGCACTTGAATTGCCGCTATCACGATCTCTTATAGCAGCAGCTTCATCATGATGTGGTGTTGGAGTACCTGTTACCGTTGCAGTTATCTCTACAACATCGTCATTCTCAGGTATGTTCGGCTGTTGACGTGGTGTTGAAGATCTTTCGGTAGCCTTAGGTGACGACTGTATTAAAGTAGTTGTTTGATGGGGTGATGGTGCATTTTGTCTGGTCGTGGATTTTTGAAGTTTTTGTGTTAATTGATGCTGCTGCTGCTGTTGCTGCTGCTGCTGTTGATGCTGGTGATGGAAAAATGCAGCTGGTGACGGATAACGTATATTAAAAGGTGGTTGTTGTTTGTACTGCTGTTGCTGTGTTATGGAACGGTGTTGCTGTTGTTGTGTCAATTGTTGTTTGTTAGTATCACCACCAGCTCCCAATGGAGTTGATGTTCTGGACAATAGTAAGTCGGCAGTGTTGACATGCATTGTATTGGTATGATAATCTTTGGAAAGTAAATCACTTAACGGATTTAAACGGTGGGCGAAATCCTTTGATGTAGGCGGTGGCGTTAGTAAGCCGCGATTTCTATTTCAATATAAAAAATATAAATTAAATTAATTTTTCTTATTATCTACGTGCTCTATGCAAGTCACCTTAAAGCCTCTTCTGTAAACCAGGACTGATGATGTAACATGCTTAATATTCTGGACGGATCAATATCAAAAAGATTCAAACCCAAAGGTGAGAATGGAAACGCGAACGGCGTTGGACATCTGGTGGTCATGCCGAAATTTCTTAAAAGCTAGATTATAAAAAAAACAAAAAAAAAAAAAAAACAAAATGCAAAAAGAAATATAAGGAATACAAATAAATTTTGTAATTTTTCTTAAGCAAATATAGACTGAGGACTAGTTTGGTTTTCTGGATTAAAAAGTAGACATTTTTCTGTTTTTTTTTTTTTTTTTTTTTTAAATAGAAAGAGAAGAGATAGACAGACAGAAGCCAATATACGACATTTAGAGAACACACATGCTTTACAAAGAAATACTACAGAACATAAAATAAAACACATTAAAATTAAGTTAGAAAATTTTGGATTAACTAAAAGCTATTCTTGGATTTGAATTCATTTTTAATTCATTTTTTTTTTTTTTTTCTTTTTCTTTTTTGATAAGTAACTGAAAAGTTTTAGTGTTTAGCTTACCGTTTTCGCGTTATCCTTTATTGATATACTGTAAGTTATTTTGTTTAAGAGACATAAATTTACAACTAATAAAGAAGAAAGCACTTAATGTTTGCCATCCAGCGGGCTATGGCTTGGATTGAAATTATTATTCAATCAATGTAAATGATTTTAATTCGTTAGCAAACATAAAACGCTTCCAACTATTTTTTCTGAGAGTAAAAAACACTTTTTTTTTTTAAAAAGTTTCAAAACAAATCTAGGACAAGGAAAGCGTTCAGAGTTTGATTCGCTGCAGCGTAAATAACATAGAAGCCTTAAGATTTTGATTGTTTTTTAAAGGTCCAATCAACTGTTTATCAATTGTTTATTCTTTTCTTCGATTGCCTTAGGTGTACGTATGTCATACAGCCGCGGCTTTATCAATCTGATTCGATAAATATAATTTGAAACATTGTGCAAAACACTTGATACACATTTAGCATAGAAATAATGGCATATAAAATAAAGACAATGGAATATTTTTTAAGCGCGATCACTTCAATTTAGCACAAGCGTGCTTTCGTCGCGACTTTTCGTAGACACTTTAAAAGTAAGAAGGCTTTGCTATTTGTGAGGAGGATAACATCGTAAAATTGATTTTCCATAATTTTACCGTACAGTTTAATAATTTTTGCGAGGACGATCGTACAAGATCGTATACTAACAATTGAAAGTTTTATTTTTTTCATTTTATAATTTAAGAACCTTTATAAAGATCAGGGAGCTTACTTATAAGGCGATTTGCTAAATTCCTTTATGAAGTCCTGTATGCGTATCGCATCACGGACACTCGCGTCTTATTACTTTCCAATCGCGAGAGTAAAAGAATGAAAAGAAATTGCATTCGATATAAGGAAGAAATGAAATGCCGAAAAGGGCGGCACTAGTTTCTCCTCAGACTCATCTTAGTAGTTGTTGGCAAAAAAAAAAAAAACAAAATAGGAATCTTATTAGAAAGAGTAGCAGCATAGGAGAGGAATATTGAATAGCAAATGAATAAATTTGTTAGCATCCGACTATAGTGTCACAAAGCTTTTCTGCTGCACAACTATTTCTTCTAATTTTTGATTAAATTTATAGGCAAATTGCGTGTTTTTAAATCACTGAAAGTGCAACAAAAAATTCATACACTTTTGTGTTGTAAAAACCGATCTTGTGCTTGGCATGAGTTAACTGCTACACGATCATCGCCTATCACGGATGCCTATAAATCATTGATTTGTGAATCAGCTAGGCAAGGGTGGGGTGGGTCATTGACATTTTGCAAATTTTTTTCGGGACATTTTTTTTTTTGCGATTTGTAACGAAATATAGCCCAAAGCATAAACATTTCCGATACAAAACGATATTTAATGCGACGAAATGTTTCGTGTGTTCATTTTTCAATGAGACATCGGCAAACGTACGTAATACTTTCGAGAATATAAGAAGAAGTAATAGTCATGTTTATCACACGCATTGACTCGTCTATAACTAAGCCCGCGACAGATAGCCACGGTTTCATCTTAAATAACTTACGTACTATTGTATGTATGCAAAAGCTATCTGCTGCACTGATTGTGCGAAGCGATTTAAATTATATTTCAAATAATAATTAAAACATCTTTTGGTTTATTTATGTTTATTAATTGTTGTTGTTTTCTTTTTTTATTTTTATTTCTCATTTATTGTTTTCTCTTTAAAGATATTTATTTAAGTTGCTTCATATTTCGGTTTCGGTTGTTCCTGGTTTTTTTTTGTTGTTGTTTTTTTTTTTTTTTTTTTTTTTTTTTTTTTTTTTGTTTTCTTCTTTTGTTTATAACTATCTTCTTCATGTATGCAAAAAATAAAATATGTAGAAAAACAAACGCAACACGTTTTGTTTACTCTATCATCATATACTCCTATATAAGACATTCACTTTTAATATATATATATATATATATATTCATATATATATATATATATATATTCATATATATATATATGCATATATATATGTATATATATATGTATATAAATTTTAATGTCTGTGTTGTTGTTGAATGTCCGTCTGATTTATTTTTCATTCATTTCTCCATATTTAAATAACATTTTATCAAATTTAATGCAATAAATACATACACAATATATAGTTATGGCGCGTGTTTTCTATGCAAAATATTCCGTGTGAGTAAGTGTAGTAGTGTTTCGAGTAAGGTGGTGGTGATCGGTCAGTTAATTTAAAAAAAAATTTAGGAAATTGAAGGGAAAAATTTCATTTTTTATATTGTTTTCCTATATTTTGTTTTTTTTTTTTGTTTTTCAATTTTTCAATTTTCTTGGTTAAGCAATTTGTTTTCTTGTTGTTGTTGTTGTTTTGTTGATGCTTGGAGGAGATTCGCTTTAAAATAAAAAAATCATGCTTTGAATATATTATATTAAAATTTCCTTTGTTGTTGTTATTGTTGTTCTTGTTTTTGTTGGTTTTTTTGCATTTTCTTACTTTCGTTTCTCAAAATTGATTTCATTTTCATTTTATTTAGTTTGGTTTTTGATAATTTACAGCTATGATATGCATTATTTGTAATTGGGTTGTTTTTATTTATTTATTAATTTTATTTTTAGCATTTTTTTCGTTATTATTCCGGTTCAATTTGTTGTATCATTCTTTTATTTTGTTGCAGTTTTTCTCTAAAACTCTTTAATATATGTATGTATACTTGTATGGAATGTAGTCGTGTGCATGTTTTTGTGTGAATTTTTTTTTTGCCATGTTTGTGTAAATATGTATGTGTGTAAGTATGTGTGTTTATTCAATCAATTTTAATTTTGTAATAGGCGATCTAAAATATGTACTAAAAATTATGTACTCTTTTTGTGGTAAAAATGTTTAAATATCAACTTTAATATAAGTTGATTTATTGCCAGATTTTTTTTTTTTATTTGTTTTTATGTTTACGTTTCTTTATCGAAAATTTTTCATTTATTTTCTTATTCTTTTTTTTTTTTTTTTTTGTTTGTTTTAATATTTATTGTATTGCAAACTTTTGAATTTTGCTAAATTTTAACCTTTCGAAATGGTTTGTATGGTTGGGGGGAGATTTTTTTAGCAATTCTTTCTAATATAAGCTCTGTTTACTCATTTTCTCTACCAGCTTAAGTAAAACTTCACATTTTAGAAAATATTTTAGGAAAAATGAATTTTATTAAAAATTATTAAATAAATAAAATTAATAATTTAAAAAAAAAATCAATATTAAGCAACTAGGAATACATATATATATATATATATATATATTGTGTGTGTACGTATATATACATATATCTGTAAGCATGTATATGAACGTATCATCATATTAACGCACTTGCCTTTAAACATATGCGTACATATATACATATATTTGCTGATATATGCCGTATACCTATAATACATGCATATACATATATATATATATATATATATATATATATATATATATATA